GGAGAGAAATATATATATAATATATATATATAAAATGTATACTTAAAAGAACTACTTTTGCTAAAAGCAAATACATCTTTTAAACTAAAACATTTTAGTGCCCAACAATCGATATGGCAAAGATATACGATATACAAGGTACGTTCCAAAGTAAACAGGACTTTTAGAAAAAAGACAGACAAATGGTTTTATCGTCAAAATCAATTAATTTTATTCAAAATAGTCTCCTTCTTTTATAATACAGCTTTTTGCACGGTCCAAAAGCATGTCGAACAAGTGTTTTAGCTCGTTGCCCGATATGGCCGCCAGTATGCCGGTGCAAGGCTTTTGAATGGCCTCCACGTCTGCATAACGCTTTCCTTTCATCGGCAAATGCATTTTTCCGAAAAGATAGAAGTCGCACGGTGCCATATCAGGTGAATGCGGGGAGTGGTTGATTGTTTTTGTCAAATAATCGGCAATTGAAACGTTTCGGTAAAAGTTTTACCAATTTTAAAACAAAATTTAATGTTGGCTCTTTGTTCGAAGCTCATTTTCGCACCGACGACAATAACATACTGACACTTAAAACAAAATAACATTATTTTAAATAGATGAAATGTCATGAAATCTTTAGTGGAAGTCGATAAAGGATAGTAGATTCTAACGCACTAGTCGACATATAGATGGAGCCCCTAGAGTTTACTTTGTTACTTTTTTACTGTTTACTTTGGAACGCACCTTGTATACAAATGTTATGTACCCCCCTGGATACTTTTCTTAAATAAATATGTGTGTATATATCATGTGGCATGGGTATATTCGCTTTCTTTCGTACGCCACGTACATATCGATACACAACTTTGCCATTGCCATTGTTGTTTTTCACTGTCTTTGTCCATTAATTGAAAACAATTATGGAAAGATGCCAATGGTGGAACTAATAGACAATTACAACCAACAACTACAATTCCATACTATACAATATGCTTATAAGTAGCATGTTGACATATATCTTCGATATGGCAAAGTTGTTGTATTAAAACAGTTTTCTGTTTCATTTACTATGAATCAATGTTTATATGGTATTTAAATAAAATTTTGTTAAAAATAATAATCTATACTAATATTATAAAGAGGAAAGATTTGATTAATACTTGACGGATTTGAAAAATTCTTTCACCGTTGGTAGGCTACACTATCTCCGGTGAGCATGGGCTTTATTATATTTTCAAAAATGTTAGGGATGCTTACGTCTCGGAGGTTGCGCGGATAAAACTTGTCTAACTGATGAAGTTCATCAGACGTACGGGATGGTTCAGAAAGGAGCCAATAGAGTGAGGGGACTTTGGTTCTGGTGGTATCACAATGGGCCTCCTAAAGCTCTAGGTGTGTCGAAATACAGCCACTCTACCTACCTACCTACCTACTAAAACGCCAATAATGTAACCCAAAGTGTAAAAAAATTATCTAAAAAATTACTTACATCGCATGCGCTATGAATACTATTGATTATAGGACAAAATAATGTACTAAGACTTTGCAGAACGTATAATTGTCTACAAAAAATGTCGCGACATCATATGTTTCACTGTTATCGTTACGTCACAATAAGTATTCTTTTATTAAAACAAAAAGCCCCCGTAAAAGCTCTTTATTTTTACCTTATTAAAATTAATTACCTCATATTCAAGACTGTTTCAAAACTTTTATATAACTTTTTTGAAGTATTCGATTCAGATATTCCATTCTCAAGATATCACCAATGTAAAAGTCGATATCAAACCACAGGAATTTTTTTGTGGTTTCACAAAGAACTGTTTAGCAGTTTAAGTATGATCGCCCGCCTTTTGGGGAGTTAAGGCATCTAACCTAACATATCCAGGCTTGTTACTCTAAAATTTAATTCTATCAAAATTCGTTGCAAATATCAGTAAGATATCAGCTTATAATTTTCTAATTATTTCACATATCATAAAGAAACATTATAGAATGCGGTTAGGTATAAACTTTGGAGTAATACATTTTTTTACTTTCCTTCAAAAGAGTTGAGCCATAGTGTTGTGTCAATTAAATATCAGGCACACGGTAGAAATTTCTCAAAAATTACAGTTATTAATGAAATTATGCTGCTTTTATCTTTGGATTATGTTTTATTGATATTTTTTATCAACGTAAACGTATGATTTTGCTTGAAACATACCAACTGAGGTGATAAAAAAAGTGGTGATGTCATACGATATAAACAAACAATAACTAACTGGCAAATGACTTCTGTTAATGATTCAGTTCTTAGTTTGATATGTAGGAATATTATAACAAAAATTCATTTGAAAATCGAAATAGAAGAATGAAAGTTCTAACCTTTTTTAAGAAGTTTCACAAAAATATATAACGTTATTTTTGTCTATATTAAATAGTTCCCAATTTATAAGTATTTACGAATTTTGACACTTTTGAAATATGTTTTATTTATAAATAAATTTGCTTAGTTCAAGCATTAAAAAATATGTATATAAATTACACAAATAAATAAATTTATATATATGTATATATACAAGTATACATATGTATACACATTTATATATTATATGTATAGTATTTAATATTATACTGCTTGAATGGATTGGCTTCCGTTGCGAACACCTGTGTATTCTTATCAGAAACATTATCAGCAACACGTCATATTGTAGTAGTCGGTTAAGTATCTAGTCTACCCTTGAATTTCTATACAAAACTAAAAATAGAAAATTTTAACAGTTTTAGAGCTATGACAACTACAAAACTTTCTACGATATAAAAAATTTATATTACTGTACATATGTACAAAATTAGCACAGTATTTACTACAAATTTTATACAGTAATAGCCTAACCCTTAGATAGGCAATTTTTCTTACATAACGTCTATTAGACTTTACCGAATGGCAGCTTAATGATACGATAGCTATGAATGACAATAGCGTTTCCATAACGTCTGGTTAAACTTTAACTTAACTCTTGCTAGCAATTTCGTTTCTACAAATACTGATTAGCTTTAACGATTGATAGCTTAAACGTAGGTTAGAAAGAAAGTGCCATTTTTACAAAGTCTGGTTAGCTAACCACCGTTTAATTCTATAATTGTTATTGCTTAAGAAAAATACGACACTAAAATACAAAAAGTTTTGTAACAGCTGATTTTGGTTTACAATTTGCTAGCACAGCTGTCACAGCTGTCAATTTTTATTCGCTAACTTTTGATAGATTTTAAACTACGAATTTACGCCAATTGTTGATTAAGTAAAACAAATTTTAGTCTACCTCAATTTAAGTACTAATTTTGTATTTTAAGTTTACCTTTTTGAAGTATGTTTTTAAATTGTATTCAACCAACCTTTAAGTAACGCGAAAACTCATGAAATTCACTTTCGTTTATTTTCACGTGTCATAAAATTAATTTTCGCTTATACTAAGTGCCCTTCAGCTTCAAAACAAATTTTATATATGTACAAGTTATATGTATACGCTTATAGGTATGTCTAAATATCTGTTTGTTTTATTTTATTTATATAATTCTGTTTCTGTTTCTGCTTTTGTTTCTGTTGCTATTTTTTGCCATTGTTGATTTTAATAAATATGTAAATGTATGTATGGTTTGCATAAAGATGTATATGTATGTTTGTTCATGCGCTTTGCCGGTTTGTTTATGTCCCTGAGTGCCAACTCTTTGTTGTTGTACGCTTATGTCATCTGCGAATTTAGTCAATTAAACTCACCTTCCGACACTCAGCATTCAAGTCTTTAATAAATCGGTATTTCTCTAATAAACTTTGTGAAATGGTATATGGACATACACATGTACATATATGTATATGTATATATGTACAATTTTTTCGTAAAAATACAGCAGCAAAGTATTTTTATACCCTGAACCGGGTATATTAAGTTTGCCACGAAGTTTGTAACAGCCAGGGGAAACGTCGGAGACCCTATAAAGTATAAAAGAGTATTTATATGAATCATCAGCGTGACGAGATGCGTCGAGTTAGGCTTATCTCTCTGTATGGTATATACGCGAACAAGTCGCTCAGTTTTTGAGATATCGATCTGAAATATTGCGTACGTCCTTTTCATCTCAAGAAGCTGCCATACAAACTGACCAATCAAAATCAAGTACTTGTATGGAAAACTTTTTTATTTGACAAGTTATCATCACGAAATTTTACACAGATTATTGTCTAAGGCAAGGCTATATAAACCAAATAAATTCTTCAGATTGAACCACTGTAGCATACATGTAGCTGGCATTAAAACGGACCGATCACAATCAAGTTTTTGTGTGGAAAACTTTATTTTTTTAGCAAGATATTTTGACAAAATCCCACATGGATTATTTTCCAGAGCAACGCTACAATCTCCGAAAGAATTGTACAGATCGGACCTATATACATATAGCATATAGCTGCCATACAAATTTCAGCTGATTTCGTGTCGTGAGTGGGCATTGCGAAGTTGAATTTAAGTAAAACTAGTAAGCCATATTTAATAATGGAACACCAACGGCAGTTTAATTTAAATAATAAGATTTTATGACATCATATAGCGGCAACACGTCACCATAAACTTGATAGGTTGCTGTAGAAACCGGCTTTCGTTCAAGAACGTCAGCAGCGTGAACCGGCACTTGCACGAAAAAATTATATACTTTTTAAATATTCAGCTGTCTACAAGAGTATACACGTTGAAACATAATATATTGCTAAGCATACGAGTATTTACAAGGCTTAATGTCGTGGCTTTTGCTTTGCTGTTTATTCTAGCGCCACATTACTTACATAAATAATACTTAAATATATTTACTTCTTTAGAACATTCTGCACTAGTTTATAATTATCTTTTACCTTTTTGCTTTATTAAGTATACATATATTATATATATATATATATATATATATATATGTATATATAAATCATATGTATTAAGCAACACTCAATATGACTTTATTGCTTTTCTACAAGTGTCTTCTTTGTTCTTTTGCAGTTGACACATACTCGGACTTCGTCTACAACAAAAACCACAAAATTTTAACGAGTGAGTAATTAAAATCAAACGCTTTTTTAATCAAATAAAAATTACACATGCCATTTACATACATACATTTGTACATATGTATGGTTTTATTACATAAAATACAGTTTTGTACCAAATTGTTCGTGACCTACACCTTGCCACGCAATTTCAAAACGACAAGTGCTAATTAATTAATGACATAATTCGCACGTTGTTGTTATTTTTAGATTTTTATGAATAGTTATTATTTTCGTTCAAATTGCTAGGTGCTCTCAAATTGATGATGTTTTGGAGAGACGCTTTATTCAGAATAAAGTAACACTCGACGATGTGTCGCTAGCTACCGAGTGTACCATTTGATAATTTTTTCGTTGGTCTCATTTTAAAATTTCGGCCTTACAACTTCTTCATTGCCGAGTAATTATGCAGTACTGAAAGACAGTATCATTATCGTCTCGTATATCGTCTCCACACAATCCTTGACAATTTATCATATTTCAAATTTATTCAGCTCGCTAATTCTCTCAAAACTTTGAGAGTAGTGAGCACGATAATCGTGAACTATACTACAATTCGATTGGAGGCTGATCAGATACAAAATAGTTGTCACAAAACAAAAAAGTTCAAATCACATCTACATAAATATGTAATAAACCAGTTTTTACTTTTACCTGATGAACGGCATTTATAAATATAAATTAGAATGTCATTAGTGAACTTTATTAGCATTCGGTTGGTGAACTAATATTTCATCGTTTAGAGAATTATAACCCGATAATTTTTTCTCAATTGTTTCGTGTGTGGTTCTCTAACGTTAGATGGATTTTAGAGCGGAAGTCTGGTTATATAATAATACCCAAGTCGATAGTTGACTTTTATGCTTGCTTGAGACTTTTGCCGTTGACTCAATGCTTGACATTTCCCAAGTTTAACGAACATGACATTTATCGATATAAATGTCACATATTTCAAACCGTATTCGATATTTTTACTTTGAAGGGCTATTAATTATAAAAGTTTTAGTTATTGCAAACAAAAAGCAAGCAAAAATATTAATTTCGGCTGCATAGAAGCTATAATATCCTTCACAGTTGCATGTATTACAGTAGAAAAGGATATAAAAAGAACTTTATCTTGATTTGAATGGGCAGTTTGTATGGCAGCTATATACTATAGTGGCTTGATTTAAACAATTTATTCGAAGATTATAACGTTTTCTTGGACAATAACGTAAGCCGAATTTCGTGAAGATATTTCGTCAAATAAAGTTTTCCATGCAAGAACTTCATTTTAATCGATCAGTTTGTATGGCAGCTAAATGCTGTAGTGGTCTGATCTAAACTATTTTTTTGAAGATTGTAGCGCTGCTTCGGACAACAACCTATGCAAAATTTTGTGTAGATATCTGGTCAAATAAAAATGTTTTCCATACAAGGACTTGAAGTGCGTTGTTCAGTTTGTATGGCAGCTAAATGCTATAGTGGTCCGATAACGACAATTCCCATAAACAAACAGCTTCTGGGTGAGAAAACGACGTGTGCTAAATTTCAGATCGATATCTCAAAAATTGATGAACTAGTCCACGTATATGCAGGCAGCAGAGCGTGGCTAAATATATTGAAGTCTCCGACGTTTCCTTTTGGGTGTTACAAACTTCGTGGCAACCGTAATATGGCCTCTTCAGGGTATAATAAAACAAGAGATAGACGCACGTACTCAGAACTTTCGTGCAGCAAATAGCCTCAACTTGAAGCAGCCTCTGATTACAATATGATTACAATTTCCAACAAAGTTGTAATCCAAAGTAATTGCTATTGTTTACTTCAAATTCAGCACGAACGGAAAAAAATTATTTGCCGCAATAAATGGAAGAAAAAGTTATGACTTACATGTTTATAACATTTTTAAAGTTCAAATGCTCGATTTATGTGTGAATGTGTGTTTAATTGCTGATTCAGTGTTTTTTCGTTGGTTATAACCCCACTTTGGCGACTGCCATGGCGCCAAATCAGCAACAAAATGTTTACACACAAGAGTGTGAGTACTTTTCTACAATGTAAATATATTTTTGTATACTTGCGAGTGTTCCACGGTCTACGCATGCGCGCCACTAAATGGAGCTCGTAAATTAGACGACGCGGTAAATTGTAAAAACAATTTCACACACATTTTCTCGTTTGAAATTGGCACACGGATGATGACGACTTGGAGTGACGTGATGACTATGATTCAGTTGGGGTGGAATGATTACCTCATTGTTGGCCGCTCCGCACACACTCACACTTAATAGAAAACAAAGTTGCCTCGACACTCGCAGACATCAAATTATAAAGTGTGTTGTTAGATCCTGTTTATGGATACGTTGACTTAACGGTACCCGATTGTCGTGTCGATAGAAACGGAAAATGTAATTATTTGGTCAGGAAATTTTGCAAATTGACAGTCAAATTGCCGTCTGGCGCCAAGCATTGGCGAGTGGGCCTGCGGAAGCCTTGCAGAAGAAGAAACTCTGGCCACATTGTAGACTCCAATTAAATTGTAAAACAATAAAAACGAACTACTTTCCAACAATACAAGCCTTGATTTCTGTGCTATGTACTCGTACATACATATGTGACAATGTGTGTATGGTATATGCAATAGCGAATGTCTATGTATGGTACAAGGAAATGCTACTGCTTAAATACAAAAAAAAAATCATGGGAGACACGCGACGGTGATTTTTAAGCTGTGGACTTTATGGCACCACACGCACATCCAGGTCATGGCACAACATTTAATGCAATTGTGACGCATAAGTAACCCTTACAAAATAAATCGCGAGATGACTCCGTAAACGCACAGAAGTGTCAACTGCTAAGAGCATTTATTGCTTTTGCGTTGGTTGATCCACAAAATTGAGTAACGCCCACTTAACGGCTGGTGCAAAAACTTGTACAGGAAATGAAAGAGAAACGAACGATATACTTTACTAACAGTACTCCCAATTGAATCGTAGTTCTTTTTTGATTCACGGGTCTTTGAGTAATTTGAAGATGTATATTTCTGGCTTACTTAAAAGTTATAAATAGATTGATTAGATCCCCTTGATTGATATTCTGTGAAGTTGATTGTTGGATCTAAAAACATCTTTGGTATTTCGGCCTTTCGGAAAGATTTGGTGAATCAGTCTACATCGGAATCAAGGCAATCGACATACTTAGACTACATGAAAATATTTTATAATGCTTATTTTTCTCAAGTGGTCTATAAAATTCTACAATGGTATATTCACACCCGCCGCTCGTAGTTATTGCATATTGTTTTTTTCGGCAGCGCATGATAAACATGCGAATGTAAAACATATTATTTACAAACTACTGGTATTAAAATGTGTTCGAAGAACTTTTATATATATTTATTTATACAAATGTCGATGTTTGATCTAGCCTCTCCAGCAGAAATACACTCATAGGTAACGTCATTGCTGGCGGAAGGAAAAAGATGTTATCTAATGATAGTCGGACACTAAATCGAACTTATATTGTTGTAGCGGTAAAAAAACATTCCTGAACTGATTTGGAGTAATACTGCCGAAATGACAATCTTTGGCGGCATAAAAAACCGACTGTTCCCACGATAGTCGGGTATATGTAACCGGAACGCACCTATAATCCGGACCAAGGTCTGATACCGAACTTAGCTCCTTCGTTGTGACTTTTCGGACCACTAACTATTAAACCACAGTAATGGTTAAGGGTAGCGTAAAAACTCGCATACTTCAAGCAGTTTATCGATTTCAGCGGCACAGGTTTTCCAAATATATGATATTCTTCTTATCTACGATCTAACACAAAATGGTTTGTTTACTACAAGGTAATTCTATTTATCAGTAAACTCGCGTTGAATTCTTGCTAGCTTTATTTATATCATCGCAAATTTTACATGGTAAAATTTTTGTGATTGTGGAAAGAGGGGTGAACTTCAAAGTTCATCGAAATATAAATGCCATATATAAATCAATATATTTTCTCTATATACATAAGATAACACCATATATATGTGGGTATATATATAATATACAATAAAAACTTGACAAGTTTTATTAGGATGTTCATATAGATAGATATCAATAGATTTTTCGATAATACCTCAGTTATTCAGATACATACATACTTTCCGTACAGGGAAACGGAAACCAGTATGTATCAAACAGTTCGTAATATCCTAGAAATTTACTCGCGCTTTGTTGAATCGTAAAATCCATACAGCTTAGTAAACTTCTGAAGTCTTACTTCAGGTCTTTACTTATAGCATAAATAAATTTGCATTATATAATCATTATTAAAACAAGAAAAATTTGTTAACTTAGGTTGCACCAAAGCTATAATGCCCTTCACAAATGCAAAAGGTTGCTTAGAAGAACTTGATTCCTATCATTCAGCTTGTATGACAGCAATATGTTATAGTGATTCGATCTGAACAATTTCTTTGGAGATTCTATTATTGCTTTAGATAATGATCCATTCCAAATGTCGTGAATATATCTCGTCATATGAAAAGGTTTTCCATACAAGAACTTTATTTCGATTATTTGTATGACAGCTTTATGCTATAGTGATCCGATTCAAGCAATTTCTTCGGAGATTCCATTATTGATTATTGATTGATTGACTACAAATTTTTATGCAAGGTCAACCACATAAACCGCATCAATTTTGAAATATTTCAATGATTACATAAGTGGTTATATATAGAAATAACTAATGTAATGAATAATGCTTTGCTTTGACGCATAGAAGTTCTAGGGGTGCCTACTGAGGGTGACACATTTAATTCAATTAAGTTAACGTACTCACTTACACAAGGTTAAGTGTGTGCTGAAGGCATATGCATGGAAACATCGTAATTTTAATTGGAAAATGGAGCTGCCTCTAATTATATTATTCACCAATTATCACTCAAACATAGTGGACGCTTTGATATTGCGCTTTGATATTGTTGGAGTTACTACTTGTATGTACCCATTTATGCATACGTAAATCAAACGGTAAACAGCAAAGTTGTAACATAAGAGCAGCAAGGAGAAATAGAAGACCGTTAGGCGCAGGACTTTTCTGTTACAATTAAGAGCTCACACTTGCAGAGCCTTTCTTAGTGGTGTCTAACAACAAATTTTTCAGAGTACCAAAGAAGAAAAAGAGTACCGAAAGAAAAACCATATGTTATTTTGACCCACCCTAATGCATATGTATCGGGTAAACCATTGATTTGACCCACCCTAATTCATATGTATCTAAGCAAACCATTACTTCTTGTTCTTTAATTACATCTCAAACTTCTGCAGTACAGCAACGCGTTGTTGTCTCTCAACTCGAATAGCTTTTATGTGAACACTTTATTCAATTAAAGCAATTCTTTAGAAAATTTGCACACTTACGCTTACATACATACAAATGTACATAAGCACATATATGCTGAGTTTATATACGCATAGGTACATGTTAATAGTATTAGTTGGCAGCAGTAATGTACATTACGTAGAAGCTTCTTCTTTACTCATCGTCCTGCTCTTGCTCGCGCTCCTCAGCTAATCGTCCAACCATCCAACCATCTGTCGCTAGTAGTCAACTTGTTGCTATTTCTGTCTGTTTCTGACTCTCCATATATTATGCTCGTAAATTGCTGTCAATCGTGCATTATTATTAGATAAAGCAACAAAAGCCACTTCTCGCCTCCAAGCTACAATCGTTCGAAAGTTTTGAGTAATCGTCTCTTTTGCCAATACAGCCAATGCCGCCGCAGATGCTTTGCAGCTGCGTCTTCAATTAAAATAGCGCCACCAACACAGCCCTTCTTTAGGTCTTCGCAATCAAATGAATCATAAAGTCGTATTTCTCACTTACTTGCACTGTCAAAGTTGACAGTTATTGCATTATCAGACGCTCGTCATCTTTACTATCTCCATACGTAGACGAATATATTAAATGTCACTTTTGTCACTTAGCTGTCGAGTTGTACATTCTCGTGCATGGCATATAACTGTGTAGGCTGCTTGTATTAAATTATAGTTACAAGTGATGTTCGTTTAGTACGCCGCTGTACTTAAGTATGTTGAAAATTAGGTACTGTGTGTATTTATGGTGAAGTTGTCTACATTTATTGACTTAGTTTGGAAAGAATATCGTCATCTCGTATCCGACTTTAATATTGCTACATTACAATAGTTATTGCTGTGAGATTTGAGGTGAAAATTGATAATGGAAATGACACAACAGTGTCTCAAAACAGTCTCTTAAAAACCGGTCATAACTCTGTAAGTTGTCATATAATTAATATTAAAGTCTGCTTATCCTTAATAGAAAGCTTTCATGGAGTCAAAATTTTGAGGAGAGAGTAAGGAAGGCATCAATTGCCTTATATTGCTGTAGTGGAGCTGTAGAGGAGCTATAGGGAAAAGGTGGCAACACTCATCGAACGACTCGTCCGAAATTTTATCCATATTCAACTGCATTACTAAAAACTTTGATCGCTGCGTCGCAGAGGCTACGCTTGTCAGCTTTTTCTCTGCTCACTGGAGAAGAGGCGCATTGAGCTTTTTCACGAATGGGTTGAAGCTAGGAGGGAAGGTTGGAGGGTTAGTTTTCTGTAAGCAGCTTTAGGCAACCGGATCACTGAATTGTAGTTTTTCAGGCGAATGACTGCTATTGAGGTGTCTGTGAACGTACTGCTACGAAGTGTAGCCTCTTTCAGGAAGTTGAGCATTCACTACAACAGCAGAGCGGAGTATTTGTCCTCAGAAATAGAAATAGTATCAAGCTAGATCAGACCCGAATTCGGCGGATCCTTATATGTCGGTTGTCGTAGTTTCTTCTTTGGGAGAAAAGAATGCTGGCCAAATTTCATATCGATATCTCTAAGACTGAGGGATTTGTTTGCGTATATACAGACAGACCCTGTTCAGGTTATAAAAAATACACATTTTTCTAGGTCCACTCCAATAACCCTGCTCCTGGAAGATGAATCTGCTTGGTTAATGCTTATTTGCATAAGTATATAACTGACTTTCTATTTACATACATAAGTATGTATATTTTCATCGCACTCTTGAGACTATGCTACCGAATGTTTAATAGTGGCTGTATATGCTATATACATACATATGTATTTATGTATATCTACTCGTAATCGTCAACATTTTTCGCTGCACGTTTATAAGCAGCTCTCAAATTAATATTAATCAACGTTAATTTAATCTCGAGCAAAAGAAAAATAATACATAATGCTTGAAAGATAATATCTGATCGTTGCTTTATAAGATTTTATAAGACATTTGTTATATTTTTGTTATTATTTCAGATTACTACACCATACCAACAAAATAGTTTCAACACAGTAAAACGGAATTTAAGAAAACATGCCAGCGGAAACGAAAAGTGCCACCGCTGGAACCGAGGCTGAAACGCCTACGAAAAGCAAAAAAGCGAATACGACCGGAAAAGCTGGACTGGCGCGTGTTACGCTGCTCGATGGCTCTCTACTTGATGTCACGATCGATGTGAGTACAGCTTGAAGCTCATTGATATTCATAAAATATAACTTTACTTTCTCTCCGACTATTTAGCGCAAAGCGAAAGGACGCGACCTAATAAACACCATTTGTGCGGGTCTCAATATTGTGGAGAAGGATTATTTCGGTCTTACTTATGACACACCGTCCGATCCACGCACTTGGTTAGATTTGGATAAGCCGGTTTCCAAATTTTTCCGTACCGATCCATGGGTGCTGCAATTCGCTGTGAAATTTTACCCACCGGAACCATCACAGCTGCAAGAGGACATTACGCGCTATCAGCTTTGCTTGCAGGTGCGCAATGACATACTCGAAGGTCGCTTGCCATGCACTTTCGTTACACATGCGCTGCTCGGCTCGTACCTGGTGCAATCGGAGATGGGCGACTATGATCCGAAGGAAATGCCAGATCGTCGCTATTTGAAAGACTTCAAAATAGCACCCAATCAAACGCCGGAATTGGAAGATAAGGTCATGGATTTGCACAAGACACACAAGTTAGTACACACCGATAAAGACGCTTAAAACGTTGTATCTTAAAGACATTTCCATATACAAACTTTCTAGGGGTCAAGCACCGGCCGAGGCGGAACTGCATTATTTGGAAAATGCCAAGAAGCTAGCCATGTACGGTGTTGATTTGCATCCAGCAAAGGACTCGGAGGGCGTTGACATTATGTTGGGTGTCTGTGCATCCGGTTTGCTGGTTTACCGCGACAAGTGCGTAGCATATCTTAGGCTTCTGTTGCATGTTTATTAATACACATTTTATATCATGTAGATTACGTATCAATCGCTTCGCTTGGCCGAAGATACTAAAGATTTCTTATAAGCGGCATCACTTCTACATCAAAATACGTCCCGGCGATTTTGAACAATTCGAATCGACTATTGGCTTTAAATTGGCTAATCATCAGGCTGCTAAGAAGTTGTGGAAGTCGTGTGTGGAGCATCACACATTCTTCCGTCTGATGACACCAGAACCGCCGACCAAGTCATCGCTGTTCCCACGTTTCGGCTCCAAGTACCGTTACTCCGGACGTACTTTGTACGAAAGCAAACGAAATCCAATCGATCGCACAGCACCGAAGTTCGATCGTAGTTTGTCGGGCCGACGTCTAACCTCGCGTAGCATGGATGGTAAGCAAATGAATTTAGAATTAAATTTTAAACGGCAGTACAGTTTAGTTTTCTTGCATGCCGTTATAAATAATTTATAATTTAACATTATTTTCATATATAATAGCGCTCGCTATGGCCGAAAAGGAGAAGGATGCTCAGAAACGTCACACCATGGGACATCCACCAGAGCATATACCCGATTTTGACTCACCACGTAGTCGTAGTCCATTGAAGAAGGATAAAAAGGAGAAGGTATATTTCTGCGCTCTTTGCCTACAAAGATTTCTCATTAGTAGAACAGTTTCGTTTGAAAATTTGTTTTCTACAATAAAAAAATGTGTATATTTTTTTTTGTTTCAAGATTTTTCTTTTCAAAATTTACTGACAAAATTTATTTTCCTTCCTTTTTCTCGGTTTGTTTCCATTCTGTAATTAATACGAACACACAAAATTAACCAACTCACTAACAACAACAAAACATCAATCAAAAATATCAACAACAACTCCGCAAATGTTATGTAATAACAAATTAAAACGCAAAAAATATCGACAAAAATGCGCACTTACCACAAACTCACTCTCACTACTTATCCTTACTATGTTCAAAAAACTACAACAACAATCAATCACCTTAATGTGTAAAACAAAAACACAAACAAAAATGTTCTCTGCTAATTAATCATTAAAATTTCATATTCATTTTAACCGCAACAACTAACCTAACCTAATATTTGAAAATTTGCACAAACACAAAATACACACATAAAACAAAAACAAAAAAAAAAACCAATTGTTTGTTCCAAATAACCCCAAATCGTATAGTTAAAACGTGAATCGAGTACTGGTACAGCTTCCGCCTCTTCGCAGAGTTCACTCGAAGGTGATTATTCGACCCATACCGGTGCTGATGTGGCAGCCGGCGAGTCCGCCTCGGCCGTCGCCTATCTTGGCAAAGATCAGGTTAATTTTCATTTTCAACAGCCAATTTCTATTCTCCTATATTTATTATATAGTTTATATAATATCTCGTATATGCAAATCATACAATATTTACTTTGTATGAAAAGTTACGTAACTATTTACGCTTTTATTTCCACCATTATTTATCTAGTTTATTTATACAACATAGTGTATTTTTTTGATCTCTGAGCTTTAAGTGTCTCTTGTCCTTTTTTCTTTTACGATTACTTTTGTCCTACAACACTATCTGTTTGTTGTTGTTATTCTTCTCCATAAAAATCCATGTCCTGTTTGTTGTTCAAACTGACGTTTAAGATAAACTGTTAAGCTGTTAAGAAATTTTTGTCTGCAAGTGGAAATTTATTACCTACCATCTGATCAAATTTGACCCGGACTGAGGAAAAAAAACCAACATTTTTATGTATTTTAATAAAAATATTTATTATCGCCTTCCAAATAGGCGCCTTATCAGCCAATTATCCATAAACTTTCTATAATTTTCGGCTGGGTTGGCTTTCAGTGATTTCAGAGAATGACTTTTAACGTTTCGGTTCCTGAAGCGGATGTTTTTAGTTTCGAAACCAGAAAATAGTCATATTGAGCTAAATGATGACTCTCGTTTAGTGTTTGGCCAAAAAGTCCGTCACAATCATTCTTAAATGTAATGGCCCATCATCGTGGTGAAAAATCTATGCATTTTCTGTTCACAAATCTGGTCGTTTACGATGAATTGTTTCAAGTAGACGCCTTAAAATGGCCAAGTAGTATTTCTTATTGACTGTTGGATCCTGTTGAACGACTTGATGGTTCAAAGCAAAGGATGAACATCACCTTGATTTTTGAACGATTTTGACGTGTTTTTCTCAGTTTCGGTTCATTTTTGGAGCACCAATTGCTAGATTGTTCGACAGTTTTGACGTCATATCCATAAACTCACGTCTCGTCACCAGTAATGATGCGTTTGATGAACATAGGATTCTCAGCTACGTTGTCAAGCAACTCTTAAACGATCTTTACTGTACGCCGTTTTTGCAAAAGAGTCAGGTCTTTTGGTACGAGTGTAGAACTGACACGCTTCATACTCAAAACATTAACAAAAATGTGTTGAGTTGATCTATAGGAGACGTTGAGATCCTCTGCTATCTCTCTGATGCCAAAACGACAATTTTCAAGCACTGTTTCTTTAATTTATTTGATGTTATCGCCAAATAGAGGTGGATCGACAACTCGCATGACCGTAATAAATATACTCGTATCTTGTCTTAAATAATTTGAAGCATACATATTTATATATGCTACTCAATCCAATAATATTATATTTTACACATACATTCGGTTTTATATAAACTGAAAAAAATCTTTTTGCCAACATACAATAATTTTACTAAATTTTTTTAAAACAAAATTTATAATCATTGTTTTAGTTCATTTTATTTTACTCTCTTTTTGGCCTCATTTACCTCAATTAATATAAATATTTTTATGCTCAATGTGCTTGCTAATGCTTAACCCTTTTATGATATAATTCTAAATCAATTTTTAAAGCAACAAATGTTCGTAAGCGACAATTTTACAAAAAAATATAAGAAAATATTTTGTTTTTTCGAAATATTTTGTTTTCTCAAATGTCAATTACAAATAAAATAAGTTGGTAGAAGAGAATCTTTACGCAAAAGTATTAGTAGTAGTGTCATTTTGAAGCAGGGAAAAGTTCTATCCACAGATATTACACTAAGTCCTTTTTATATAACAATTACTGTATTGTCTTATCAAGCACAGTTTAACGATATTTTTTCTAAGGGAGATTCTAGATTTGGAGATATTTTCGTTAGCACATTGAGGCTTTTTAATTGGCTTTAAGTATATAGAGTGATTTTCAGATAAAAAAAAAATGATTCGATATCGTCGTACAAATGAGTGGCTTCTTAGGGAGGAAAGGATGTGTGCAAAATTTCTGAGCTTCCCCTTTAACTTAATATTTTATTAACTTTCGTGCAAACTGTCAAGGAAAATATGTAGACCTCAGGCTTTGAAACACCAATATAAAGCTACTCCGAAAAAGCAAACTGAGTATTATTGTTTCATTATGTTCACTATTCAAAAAAAAAAAAAAAAATGAAGCTGGAATGAAAAAAGCGTTCTCCTTGATAAAAAATTTCCCGCAAGTTTTTAAAGGTCTTCTGTTGGACCTTATTTGAGAACGCAAATGTCTGTTGATGCATTCATTGTGACCGCTTGTTGTCTAGTTCTTTTTTGACTCAAGCTTACCAAAAAAAAAAATCAAAAGAATAAAAATTTGTTAAAGAGAAATAGCTGTTTGTGCTATGTTTGAAAATAACTGTATATGATATATGTATATTTGTTTATTTATGAGATATCAACTTGTATCTGTAACAGTAATGTATGAAATTTGTCGCTTACGTCATTTTATTCGAAGAGCTGTCTATATGTTGCTAATGCTATAACGATATTTTCATATATACTTACATAAATCTATGTAAAATACTTACGATTTCCAAATCGTTTGAAACCTAAAATACTCGTATAAATGTTGAATTATTGATTTTTGTCCCAATATCTTTGTTGTAATACATAATTACAACCTTAACATTGCTCATACATACCCGGTACTCGTACATATTTATACTTGTAAACGTAAGAAAGTTATACCATTGAACTAACTGTGCGGAGCAGCGAAATTTCTTTCAAAATACAAATCATACCCATACACTCACATATATGTATGTTGATATAAAGATACATATGTACATAGAAGACACTTAAATGTTTCAGTGAACACATGCTCAAAAGCTATATCTCTTATCGTTCTAATACATATATACAATCATTACATACACATAAATATCAATATTAGAGTGAGCCAAAAAAACAACACAATATCGAATTTATAGGCTAAACTGAAACTTTATTTAGAGAAAAGACTATCGCTGAAAGGCAGAATTTTTAGCTTTATTTTTAAATGTATAAACGGTGTTAAAAAATTTTTTTCATTGAAAATACCCTAAATTGTAGACCGTTTAGATAGCATTTTTTTAGGTCGCGGGTTCTTGTAGAGCATAAAATTTCATAAAAAATCTACATCAGAGGGATTTTTTTTCAATTGCAAAATTCTAATATTTTAAATTTTTAAAAAGTGAAAAAAATCAAAATATATAATATGTATATGGGCAAATTCGATATTAGTTTTTTTTGGCTTACCCTAATATATATATCTATACTATATATATATGTATATATACTTATGCACATAATTGTACACATTCATATCTGTTATCATAATCTATTTTATTTTAATTAATTACTGTTTTTTATGTAAAAAAATTAAGTATTATTAGTAATACAGGGTGTAGCAACTTTATGTATTTCAAACGAACCTTCAAGACACATGTACAGTGATCCACTATCCAATAAACTAGGATGCCATAACAAAACTGATTATTGTGTGCAAATATTAATAAATTTCCTTGCTAAGGAAAGTACATTAGGGTGCTGCAAAATAAGTTTAAACTTTTTTTCAATCTTCCTATTTGATGTAAAAACAAGAACAAACGTTAATTTCGGCTGTTGAAGCTATAATACCCTTCACAGTTGCTTATCACACAGCATTTATATTGATTTTGATCGAACAGTTTGTATGGCAGCTGAGCTATGAAATGTGACATTTTTGTTATTTAGAATACAAGTATTTTATGTTTTAATACATAAAGACATCTCATTACACACATACACCTATATGCACAAAACGCAATTCACGGTTTAAAAAGGCAGCAGATCAAAGAAGGACGATTAAATAAGAATTTAAAATTTAAACTTTTTAAGCTAACCATATTTGCTGCTTTCTTCAGCCGTCTTTTCTTTAAGCTTTTATTTGCACACAACACACGCTCATATATACTTGTAACTGTATGTGTGTATATAAAACTGATATTAAATAGCTATAAGCATGCAAACGCTTTAACAGTAATAACTTAAGCTCAGCTTTGTCTACATTTTTACTTGCTTCTTTTGATTGTTTTTCCTCTAAGCGCAAAATAGAGGCACTAAAACTAATAAAATTCCTTAATTTCTCTTGAACCAAAAGGCGGAGGCCGAGAAGGAGGCCAAATTGAAGAAGAAACAACAAGAAAAAGAGGAGAAAGAGCGCAAGGAACGCGAAAAGAAGGAGAAGGAGGCACAAGAGAAGGCTGCCAAGGAGAAAGCTGCAAAGGAAAAGGTTGCTAAGGCCGCTGCTGCTGCCGCCGCTGCTGGCATTAATGGTGACTACAGCAAATCGCATAAATATATTTACATAATTATAATTTTCTTTACTTGGATTTCAGGCAATGATGACTTGAACGATTCCAAGAAGTCGGAGAAATCTGGCAAAGGACGTGTAAGTATGCAACCAGTACACTAGGTGTCGCTGTTATATTAAATATACCTCAGGTCTGTGGCGAATCCAGAATTTCTTTCTGGCGGTTTTTCCGATTTTAGGGTGGGGGGAGGTCGTTGACCCCCAAAATCCACCTGTATCCGCCACTGCCTCAGGTGTATATTGAGTAATGTGTGCTATTATCTAATGTTGATAATGACAAATGCCCCGCCCACCCAAGAATGCGTAACGCGTACGAAGTGCGTTTCTGCCGAAGTCATGTCATCCACCGTTATGTTGTTACTATGTACAGAGAACAGCCTGCATATGACTGCATAGATGTTTTCAAGCTGTTTTTCAAATTGTTATTTAATTTGTAGCGCATTGCCCCTTACCACCGTCCATGTTTCCTACTTTTAACTTTAACTAAATTTTAAGTTAAGAATTAGTATGTAGCATTTAGTGTCCCCCATTATGTATGTAAACTGTATGTCTCTCTGTAGTGTACCCTTAAGTTTTACTTAGAAATTTATTTAACTAGTGTTAAATTTTTATTTTTTCCCCTTTTTTATTTTTTTGTTTTCTTTTCTTTTTAATCTCTTTTGCAATTGGAAATATTTATGAATCAACGCATGTGCTAAATTGATATTTTTGTCGCGTGAAAAAAAATAAAAATTATTTATTGGTGTAAATCAACACACATCAGGGTGGTGGCCTTTTCTCGTCCGGTCGCAAGAGTAAGAGTAGCTCGCCGACAAAGGAGGCGAAAGAGGCAAAAGAGGCGAAGGATAAAGATAAGTCCGGAAAAGCGAAGGATGGCAAGAGTGGTGAGTTGGTATACGCTGACTTGGAACTGGCTGCACCCAATAATCAAGCCAATGATGATAGCAATCGTGCTTCACGTCAACCCGGCCACACTAGACCCTATGAATACTCAGAGGGTACCGGTGAAACTAGCCCCACACGCAAATCATACATTCCTGGTGGTTTCCGTTACGATCAGGATCCGCAAGGCGGTAGACGTGGTCAAGATGGCGATGGACAAATGTCGCCCACGTCTGAACAAAAGAAGACTGCAATTGCCTTCAATTATGCGCCTGGTCATGATGATACATTGAAGAAGACAGCAGAGAAATTGAAGAGCGGTCAGTTGTCGCCACGCACACGTGAAAAGATCAATAAGGGTCAGTTGTCGCCCACAACACGCGCAAAATTACTTAAAGAAGCCAATTTATCACCGACCACACGTGCTAAGTTGCTAGGTAGTGCTGTGGATGCGGCTGCCGCACCGCTAACTGATGCACAGAAGCGTTCTTATTCGCCTTCTAAAGGTCAGTCTGTGGGTTATACTTCAGGTGCTCCGGGTAGTTATAAGCCATTGGTGGATCCCACAGCGGCATTCCTTGAATCGGAACGTTATAATAAAGATCCATCTGCTGGAGCCGGTGCAGCAGCTGGTAAAGTTGCAACGGATGGTAAGGATGCTGCAATTGCCGGAGCTGCCGCTGGTAAAGGCAGGGGTAGCACACCGGTTACGCCTACAAAAGCTGGTAGTGGTTTGGCTGCCGGCGCTGCGGCCGCCGCTGCAGCAACAAAACCGAAGAAGAAGCGCGTTAAGATTATGGTAATCACATCCAAATTTGATCCCAATACCAAGCGTATTGATGCTGAAAATGGCGTCATTGAACACTCCACGGGCATACTTGATCCTGAGACTGGCTTGATTGATAGTAAATATGGACAGATTGATCCGAAAATTGGCACTTTATTGGCTTTGAATACGAAGACAGGCAAAAATGAAATTTATCAAGGTGAAGTTGATCCCAAAACTGGCAATGTGCACTTGGTTTCCGGTGTTGCAGATCCCAATACGGGTCGTTTAGACGAGAGTTTGGGACAAATCATTTGTGTTACACCACAAGACAATCCAGTTGTGGAACTGATTGTTATCACAAGCCGTATTGATCCCGCCACGGGTAAAGTTGATACAGTTAACGGTGAAGTTGAACGTTCGCTGGGCGTACTAAATTTGGATTCGGGTCTACTTGATACTAAATATGGTGAAATAAATACCCGAACAGGTGAGCTAAAATCTATTGATCCCAAGACCGGCAAAATCGTTGTATCCAAATATGTGAAAGTCGACCCATCCACTGGCCAGATAACAATATTGGGAGTCACAGATCCAAAAACTGGTAAATTGGATAATACACAAGGACGTATTATTGAAGTCGGACAGCAAATTGATCCAATTGTTGAGGTTACCTCATTGGCGGGCAAATATGATTCCAAAAAGAATATTATCGATCCAAAAACTGCACAAGTTGAAACTTCTGGTGGTCAATTCGATCCAAAGGCTGGCAAGATCGATACGAAATACGGACAAATTGATTTGGTTAAACATACAATTACATACACTGATCCCAAATCGGGCAAAACGGTTACACGTGATATCAAAATTGATCCGGCAACTGGACAAATTGTGCTTAAGAACCAAATCAATCCGAAGAACAACAAACCCGATAAAGATTATGCCCGCATTATATCGTTACGCATTGTACAGCAACGTGTTGATCCCAAAACGAAAGCACCCATTGCACAAGTCAGCTCGGCGAAGGACAAAGAAATTATTGTCGATCCGAAATCGAATCAAATTTGGATGCCAACCGGTGCTAGCGATCCGAACACAAAAGAGTCACAATACATTTCCAGCAGCGTGGATCCCAAGACCGGCTATGTTATCACTATTTACGGTTATCTCGATCCGAAAACAAATGAAATCAAGAAACAAAACAAACTCGATCCCAATACCACCAAAATCGAACCATCCTCTGGCAAGATTTATACAACCACCGGCGAGGTTGACAAAACCACTGGCGAACCACTCTATGCCACCACCCAAGTTGATCCCGAATCTGGCGATGTATACACCAAAGTCGGACGTGTTGATCCCAAAACTGGCAAAATTGTCATTGTTCGCGTACTGCTCATCTCCAAAACGGATGAGCGTGGTCGACCCGAAGAAATCGATCCAGCGACATGTGAAATCGATCCGGTCTCTGGTCGAATTCTCAAGTTCTTCAATAAAACTGTTTATGTTTATACTATGATTGATCCAGTAACAGGTGAAATTGTACAGGTTGATCCAAATGATCCACGCTTTGCGGGCGCACGCACCACCGTCACACAAACTATGACACTAACAGGCGAAATTGATCCAGTGACCGGACGTATTAAGAGCGAATACGGTGACATCGATCCAAATACAGGCGATATCGATCCAGCCACAGCAGTACGTGATCCCGTTACAGGCAAACTAATTCTTAATTATGCACAAATCGATCCATCGCATTTCGGCAAGGAGGCTCAGGTGAGCACTACTACTGAGACGGTACCAATTACACGTGAGCAGTTCTTCGAAGGCGTCAAACATATGGGCAAGAATGCGCTGCGACGCGACTCCGAGGCCAGTTCGGACGATGATATGACACAACAGTATGGCAGTGAGCATGTCAAGGATATGGTGCTGAATAGTCCCAAAAATGCGGATGGCACAACCGTAACTACAACCACAACAAAACAAGCTGGCAAATTTGGCACACCGACTGTGGTGAAAACGACCACAAAGCAAGTACTCACCAAGAACGATGACGGCGTGACGCACAATGTGGAGGAGGAGGTGCGCAATTTGGGCACCGGCGAGGTCACGTACTCAACGCAAGAACACAAGGTTAGCAAGTCATATTTTGAGTAAGGTACATACAATAGCTAGTTGAGCGCACTTGTGGTAGTTTCACTGCAATTAAAGTTGTTAGAATTGCGCTCTGCGTTTTGTGTTCATTCGAATGTGTTTTAAGTAGCATCAAATTCGATAAAAAATTTCACATTTTAGTGAAATTCGAAATTATATTTTATGCTCATTTTCGTAAGTAATGAGTACTTGAGTTTATTGGGTAGTAATTATAGATAACCGTTTACATATAACTTTTCATTTATACACATAATTTTTAACGGTATGCCCCGATTGGTTCGAATACTTCGGTATAGCTTTAATGAATGCTATTCCGAAGTAAATGTGGAGTAAGTAAATTGTAGCTGAATATTTGTAGTAAAATATTTTATTTTGTAGGAATGTTGCATGAATTTAGTGTTTACGAGTTTGTTGTATAAAACCCGATGAAATCATTTAACCACATTTTTGAAATTCAATTTAAAGTTTTAAAGTTTCACATGCATAGCTATACATAAGTACGTCTCTCTGGGAATCCATCAAGCTACTAAAAAGTTTATACATATATATATATCCCCTTTAGTTAAAGAAATACCTGAAAGAAATTATGAAGCGCAGTAGGTCGCCGCAAAGGCTTAAGATCAAGTAGGATAAGGGCGACAAGTAATCTGTCGTACCGTATACTTTTATGCGAGTAGGCAAATGAGGTTAAGATACATTTTCGTTTTTCATTCATAATATCATCAACTCTACTAACGACATAGACCTTGATAGAGGTTCTGAACTATTCGCATATTCGAATATCCATTCACAGAAGAGAGCCGAATATTGTGGATTGCATTTTTACAATAATTTGTATATGCGATATTAAATATTGCCGGTTAAAATTTAAATTTTCGGTTAAATTTAAATCGAAATTAAATTTTTTTGTTATTTAGATTTACGAATTTCCGAAATTAAGGAGAATATTCGAAAATCCGTCGGCAAAAAAGTTTTAAATATTATGGATTGCAATTGTTTTTAATTATTTGTGTATCCGGAATTAGGAATTTGCGGTTAAAACTTTTTTTTTCGAATATAACTCATAACTATTGTTTGAAATTTATTTTTTTAAATATACCGAATTACAAAATTCCGAAATTAAAGAGAAGGTTCGAATATGCGTTGACAGAAAAGTTCCAAATGTTACAGAACTTTCTCCAATTATTCGGATATGCGGAATTACGAATTTCCCGTCAAAATACATATTTTCAGTTATTACACATCACAATTGTTCGAAATTTAAGAGAATTTTCGAATATCAGAAAAGTCCTGAATGTAGTAGATTGCGTATTTTGCAATTATTTTATTTTTTCGATTAAAATCGTTGTTATCGTGTATAACACATAACAATCGTTCGAAAGGTTGTATGGAATTACGAATGTTCGATTAAAATGCATAGTTGTAGATATTAGACACAACAGTTGTTTGGGATTTAAGATAATGTTCGAAAATCTGTTGAGAGAATTATTCCGAATGCTGTTATTTGGATATCCGAAATTATGAATGATTAAGATGCATTGTGTCAAGTATTAGACCGACCTAAAATTTTTCGCAAATTTGTTGCTGTTCCGGTACGCCTTTTCTATATTTTGACAAATAGTTGTTACAAAAACCTCAGGCAGGTCGAAAATTTCAGATTTCTAGACATTCAAAAATTATGTTCGAAACTGCGTATTTTTCAATTAATTCTCCGAATATTGAAATATTCCGTTTATTCTGAGTGTTGAAAATGTTGCTGAAATAATTGATTCGGAATAAAAAATTATCAAGGTTTTTAGCACAAGAAATTTCAAAATGGACTACCGTGCGCCTAAAAGCGAGTTAATCCTTTTAGCAAACTCTTGCCGCTTATTCAGTTAAAATTTTAGTCTAGTATTGAGTGCGTATATTTCGTGTGTGGTGAATATAAGCAAACCTAAACTAAAGAATATCAAAGAACTAGGTTCTGTGAGTGGTTTTTGAATCAGCCAACTTCCAGCACAAGTTGAAGCTAAGGCGTTGTTCACACACTGAAAATAAGGCAAGCAGTCTTAGAGTATATATTTTTTGTTAGTGCAACCTTGCTTTAAACCATCTTGCTTTGTTGACAGTAAGCAACGTATTAAAACTAAATCTTCATAATTAATCATTTACTTATAACATTTTTTTGTTTTTGCAATCATTTCAACAAACTGGTTTGCTTTCATTTCCTTTGTTGTACACTTATGTTCAAATATTCGAAAAATTCAAAAAAATTAAAAACCAACTAACCAGGCTGATGCCGATGTGAGCGGTGCTTACGTGACTGCCACCGCTGTAACCACGCGCACAGCCACAACCCACGAAGATCTGGGCAAGAAGGCTAAAACCGAACAACTCGAAGAGAAGACAGTGGCGACAACGCGAACCCATGACCCGAACAAGCAGGAACAGCGCGTAGTTACGCAGGAAGTAAAGACCACAGCCACAGTGACCAGCGGTGATCAGGTAAGCGACAAGCAACGCGCGTAACCAGGACAGTAACGAGCGCGTAGAAGTGTGCCGTAGAACTAGCGAGTTTTGCGGCGCTCTCAGCAGCGTTGCATGTCTCCCACATTATATTTTGCATGTTTTTTAGTTTTCATAATTAATAATTTCATAATTAAATTAAAGCGTTTCTTTACTTTGCATTATATTTATTTCGTTTATGTTGATTGATTGCCGTACTCGTTGATTGCATTTAACTGTACTGTTGTATGAAATGAAACTAATAAACCGATCTGTGTTTGGAATGTGTTTGCCATATAATTTGAAAAAAAAACCGAAAAAAAAACCAAAAAAAACCGAAAAAAACCGCAATTAACAAAAACTGTAGTTCCGAGACCGTGGAGACAGTATTTCATCGACTAGCTCTGGCGACTCGGGCACGCCCATCGATGGCCCAGACGACGGGTCCAGTGTGGTGCGTCCCGCCTACGATAAGGTTTGTGTCAGCTAAAAACCCACTATATATAATAATTATACACACCAACACATATAAAACACATACGATCCATTTATGCATTCACTTTACCATTTTAATATAGATTATATGTACATATGTATGTAGTGTATATGTAGTCCCATCGCAATTTTCTAGTATGTAAGGTAAAAATGTACTCGTATATAAAGCTAAGTATCAGTCTTTCATTGCTCACACATCATCCACCAAAGCACACTTTGTTATGGCAATTCTGAACCCAAAAATACTAACAGTTGTTTGTTGTATTTGCCGTTTACAGGGGCAAGGTAGCTACACCACAGTACCCGGTCCACATGTTGAACAAACCCGCGTCATTTTAGGTGAGGACACACCTGGCTACTCCGGACACGGCGAGATCGTTTCAACACAAACGCTCAGCAGCAAAACGCGAACTGTGGAAACTATTACCGTAAGTTGGAGCACAAATGAAAAATAAGTACAATATATTTCAGTTCAACTTTTCGAAGGATATACCCAAGACATTATATTTCATTTAACATAAAATACGCGTATGTATTTTCTACCTTATTTATTAAAATAAAAGTATCGACCACACGTCTTGCCTACTCGACGAACTGATTTTCCGACTACGACGTGAAATTTCCACACATGTCTTTTGAGGGTTGGGTCTAACTACATTCAAGTCTCTCTTTCTTATAGCTATATAAGCTTTTAAGTCTTGTACAATGAAGTTAACAAAAACAAAGTATTTCCTGATCCTAAATTAACATGCGATTATTATTTTATTATACGCTGAGTAGGGTATACTAAGTTAGCCACGGAGTATGTAACATCCAGAAGTAAACTTCAGATATACTACGAATATACTTGTATAAATGATCAGTGTGACGAGCTTGGTCGATTTAGCTATGTTCGTCTGTCCGAGTGTATATACGTGAATTAGTAGCTTAGTTTTTGCGTTATCGATCTGAAATTGTGCACACGTCCTATATTTTTCATGAAGCTGCTATTGAATCACTACAGCATATAGCTGCAATACAAGCTGACCGCTCAAAATCAAGTTCCTGTATGGAAAACTCTTTTATTTAACAAGATATCTTCACGAAATTTGGTATAGATTTAGCGAAAAAATTGTTCAGATCAGACGACTATAGCATATACGAGTATTGTAGCTGTCATTCGAACTGAGCTATCAAAGTGGCAGTGTATTTTTTGTATTTTTCCCTTCCGAAGTTACGTTTGGAACTTTTACAAACTCCAGCCAACTTTCGATTTCGTAAGAAGTTAACGGTATATGTCTTGGGTATATTACACTAGAATTTAAAGTGAACCAGCGATTATATAATTAGAACATACATATGTACATATTATTTTCAGTTTAAAAATGTATATTTTGTATATTTCTGTGAAAGTTTGTCTGCTTTATCGGATTAAAAATTATCGGTATATCTGTAGTTACATTACATGTTTTTTGATATAAATGTTTATGTAAGTAGTAGCTATTGTTTGTCTAAAATTATGTTATTTAGATGGCGGTTTAAGAGTTCACGTTAGCTTTTCTACTTTTCTAACTGTAAGATAAATATGTGTCGGTAACTTGGAAAAGAAATTTATACTTGTAATTATCGTTGTTTTTTCCTTCTTATTCCTCTTTAGACTATAAGGTCTCTATAATGTTGTGCCCACCTCACGTTTGAGGGCTGTGGTCTTTGTGATCTTCCCAGATAATTTTGGGATGAAAATTTAAATTAAGTTAAATCAAAATTACGTATTACCGACCTCCACCATTGGTCGGTCGTGACTTTTACTTCTTTGCGGATTCCAGTCAAGTGACCACCTCATAATGTCTGGTGACCTCTTCAGAGTATATCCTATCCAGCGCCATTTTCTGTGCTTAATTTGCACTAGTACGGGATTATATTTCGCGAAACTTCATAGCGCTTGATTGCTTGTAGTTTTGGGTTCGATCGAACGTCAGATCATTCGTAGAAGGTTGTTGATGAATGCTTGGAGTTTCTGCAGACCAGCATGTGGAGAATATTTTGAACTTTGTGCTTTTGAGTTTTGCGAGCTCCAAATATTTTTGCCTTGCACCTCCTACAATTGGCAGCCGATTTTTGTTCTTCGCCCGTTGTTATAATGCTTTCGAGGTAGCAGAAGCTGTTGATGAACTCGATTTCATAATTGCCAATCTTTATTTGGCTTCTGTTGGAATGATTGATTTTCATTTTTGTTTTGCGTTGCTTATCTCAAGTCGAACGGTTTGTGCCAGCTGGACCAAATTGCCGATTGTTGAAGGAATGAATTGATGGTTTTTGTACAACGACAACTGTTTCCGTTACGATCTCGAAGAAAACCAATTCAGAGCATTACTTGTGATGGTTTTCTAAAGGGATCATCTCTTGATTGAGTTTCTGAGGTTAAGCGTGTCTCCACACATTTTTCCCATAATCCTTTCTCTTGGTGAGGTTTCCATGCTAAGATTTTAAGCGGTGCTCGCGCTTTATACTCGTTATCACTAGTATATGTCAGTAAACACTATGACTAAAGTTGTATTTGTGCAGCTTGAAGTATGTTCTCAGACACTACTGCCATTCAAATAAAATATTTTAAGTACGAAAGGTCGTGTTTTGAGAAGTGCAATGTTTTCGAAATTACCCAACGTCTTTTTCTCTGGTTGTATAGTTCATGTAGGTACATAAAAGCAAGATATACCGCATAAAGTAATTTTTTTAAGTTTTTAAAAATAATTTCATTCCGAAATAGAAAAGGAACTAAATTGTCACAAACTTCACTTTCAAATGCAGTTATACTTTTATTATTTGCCATATAAAAAATTCTGCAAAATTTTTTATTCAAATATAATATTAACTCACCTGATATATATTTGTATTTCGCCACAGTATAAGACCGAACGTGATGGTATTGTGGAAACGCGAGTAGAACAGAAGATCACCATACAATCCGATGGCGATCCAATTGATCATGACAAGGCATTGGCTGAAGCAATTCAGGTGAGTTTCGAATATACTTTCGAAACGTAATTTCATAAATTATAAACCAATTTTCAATTTCTACTTTCATTTTTCTTCAATATGTACAGGAGGCGACAGCTATGAATCCAGACATGACAGTGGAGAAGATTGAAATCCAACAACAAACGCAGTAAAACCATACTTTAGCTATTTTCACCAATAAACAGAGTATCAAATACAAATTAATGCCCGATCTGCATATATTGTATATAGATATATATATATATATACATGTAATCTATATACTATATGCTATAATTCATCTTAAAAGCACCCGCACACATACAAAGTGAATGAAAAAAGCAGAAAACGAAACAAAAATTAAGCCACCCTTTAAAACTTATACACACATACATATATGTATACATAAATAAGCGTTTAAAAAGCAGCAGCAGAAATGCTACTTTAAAAGGACACATTAAGCAAAATGAAAGGAAATCGTCTATTTTTTATTTACATTAATTTTATAAAAAATTTAAATTTAAGCTGACAGCAAGTAAATTACAATTACAATTACAAATAAAATTACAATTACAATTAAAATGAGAATACATAATTAAATGCTATAAAAAAGTAAATGCAAAATTTCAACTAACAATTTAAGTTAAAATAAACGAAATGCTTTTATTATTATTATTATTATCTTTGTAATGTTGATTTTTATTATTATTATGTGTAATAAACTATAATTACAAACAAGTTCAAATTGTATATGCATTCAAATAAAATAAAAAGAACACACAAGTATTTTTCACAACAGTGTAGAAACAAAAAAGTGTAATAATATGTGATTGTCTGTCTGAGCGTATGCAGTTACGCAAGCTTCTATATATGTAAGTGCACTTGCAACCGAAATACATATACACTAGGGTGGGCAAATGAAAAAAAGGATCTTATAATTTTTCGACCAAGCGAAAAAATTATTCGTTTTTTTAACCCATCCTAATGTATACATGTGTATTTATAATGATGCATATAATATAATATTTAGCTGCAACATTTTGGACAAATTTGTGCATAAATTACGCGATGTATAAAATTTTAAATAAAACAAAAACTCATTTGTATAAATATATGTGAAAACTTTTGGTTTCATTTTTCGTTCAGTTGTTTTAGTTTTGTTATTTTCATTAAAAATGCATACCCATATCAGCTGTTCAAATATGGCATGACCCGGACTGACAAAGAAATAACATTTTCACATATTTTAAAACAATTACAAAATAGGCTCCTGAGCCAATACAGGCATGTCAACTTTCCGTACACATGTTATAGGTACCGGCTTCAGCAAATGACTTTTAATGCACTCCATTCGCGATGTAAATTTTTCATTGTCGACTTTTGTTGAATGACTTTTGTTTCGTATTTGGTCAAAAAGTTTATCACAATCATACTAGAATCTGATGAAGCATTATTATCGTGGTGAAAATCTATGCAGCCTTTGCCCACATCGAAAACAAATAGTAAGCATCATCTTGATTTTGAACCGACTCTGACGTGGTTTTTTTCGATTTCGGCTCAATAGTTTTCGACGTCATATTCTTAAATTCACGTCTCGTCACTGGTACTAATGCGTTTGATGAATGGGCGATCCTCAGCTATGTTGTTAAGCATCTTTTTTGCGATCTCTACTCAACTTCGATTCTCCATGCATGCATTTTGCTAAAGTATGTTGAGTCGAACCATAAGAGATGTTGTGATCTTTTGCAATCTCTCTGAAATTTTTTTCGATGTCAGTCGTCATTAATAGATGTGGATAGACGACTAGCAAGAGGCAAGTTTTTTGGTCAGATGTATTAGTAAATATAACGGAAGAAATTCATTTGAAATAGTCCAGATACATCCACTTGTAAGGTATATTGGCCGCAGACTAAGGGCCGATTTCACTATTATGTCTAAATTATGTTTGCTACACACACCAAAACTTACTAACAGGTATTTTTCAGGAAATTAGTTTTCTATCTTTTGGTTTTTAGTATTTGTTGTTTTTGTTACTATATCGGCAGAAACCATTCCCCACTTTGTAAGCCAAATATCGGTTAACTCACTGGTTAATTACCCAAAATCACTACCAGAAATAGCTTTATGTTAGTGTAATCGTTCATCTTTTTCTTACGCCAAGGGATTATGAGTGGTACGGTGTATATGGTTAATTAGTTCTTGTTGAAATTATTGATACCTTAATACATTTTTCATTCAAGAGTACTTTTTTTTTGATTTATTTTTGTCAAACGTCAAATATTAATTTCAGTTACTCGATGCATTGCATTCAATTCATTGAAAAACTTAATCAGACTATAATCGTCAGATGTCGCTAACAGAATATTTTTCAAACACATTTTTAACCAACTGTCGTTTAAATTCTTGTATAATTCTTCATCAAAAGAGCTGAAATCGGCACTAACTCTTTTGTTAATGTAATAACTTTTTTTTTACAAATGCGAGAAACTAAATTCTAAAAGAAAATCTGGCACAGTCACTGCTGCGAAACGAGGCAGTGAGTTGTTATTTAGATGTTTCTCCTAAAATACATGTGTATATCTTGTACGCTCGGTTGTGTCAGCTGACATTCTAAGTCGGTGAGTAACTGCACCATAATAATACTAGATATAATAACTATAATACCGAAAAATAGCATTGAAAATCTCTCCGAAAAAAAATTGGTTGAAGCTAATAGCCAGAAAATGAGATCTTGCACAGTATAATCGTTGAAAAATATTTACAAAAAAGATAACAAATCAAATGCAGTTTGCTATATACATGTGTGGCACTGTGATTTATAATACAATAAATCTTTGACAATACGTTCAGCTTATTCTGCTTGCCCTTTTTATTCGTAAAATTTTCTTTTATAAACCATTTACTTAATCATCAAACTCTCTCATATGTTCTTGACATTTAACTGACAATCAAAAAATAAAAATAAAATAAGGGCATAACAGTACTTTGTTTCACATTTTCATACCTTTTTGATAACAGTAAACATGCAACAGAAAAAAATATATATTAATAATATAAATCAAAAATAATATTAAAACTTTTACGTATAATTAACACTTTGCCTCTAATAATAATTCGGCAGCTATATTGTTAGGTAATAATAAAATACATTTCAAAATAATAAAAAAAACCATTAAAAAAAAATAAGAAAAATAATTTCACTAAAATCTATGAAATATCTCTTTGACTCATTAGGAACTGATAAGAGTTTTAATTAAGAAATTCTCTTTAATAACTCTTTCTCTGCAAATGTTAAGATTACAGCTAAACTCCATACACTTAATTCAGAAACCATTCTCATATCAGTTCTAAGTTTTGTCATGTAAAGAATGAGACAAATTCGGCAAGAGTTCACGATCAGTCGCAAAGGAACATGTGACTAATGGCATTTTTTGTATTTTTATATGGAACGATAAATTCTTTTGTTTAAGCGTATCCTAAGAGAAGAGTTTCGTACCCGAAAGTCCACAAGTATAGACTAATCGTAAAACCGAACCGAACAAAAGTGTAATTTCTTGTATATGGTAGCATTGCAGAGATATGCAAACCAGATTCAACTAATCTATCATCATAAAGTTATGTGTTGTAGATTAACGCATTCGTAATTATAGCTCATAGAGAGTAAACCGGGGGTACTCTCCTTAAATATTATTCGCTTACTTTGTTGCGGGGGTACCAAGTATGTAATATATTAATACGCAAGAATGTGTTTCGATATCAACTGAATTGCCGCAGATCCCTTAGAGTGATGGCTGAGCAGTTCGTTATAAGAGTACTGTGGCTAATGACGTTTTAGGTAATGAGGTACAATGGTAACGACAAGCTTTTCCTCTACAGAAAAAGTTGGGTTAACATTTATTAAAATATAAATATTTTCGATTGCAATTTTTATATTCGTGAATTTTTTATAGTCATTTACATACTTGTAGTATGTTTATAAATTTATACAACCATTATTGTAGAGTTCAAAACCATTGTCAGTACAGTCAATCTACCTATAATATTCACGAATTATTATACGATTTAGATGTACGTACTTATATAAGAGATTTATATATACTTATAAAAGAGATGTCGGTAAATAGAATTTTGTAAATGTCCATTAAAGTTCAAACTCATAGATTTCATTGACTTATAGACTAGATCTTTTGCAACTCTAACGAGTTGACTTTGTAATCGGGTCTGCCATATTATCAACAAATTAAGTGGTTTTTGTATTACTTTTTTGCTGTTTCGAGTTTTTTAAAGTAAGTAAAAAGTTAAATTTGGGAACATATATAGTTTCAGACATAGAAAAGTCTATAAAGAATACTCTCTAAAAATTTCAGGTAAATCGGTTCAGTAGAATTGTGGGTATCGTTTTGAAAAAGCCTATATTATATATTAGAAAATACCTATATTTCCAAAAACTATTCGAATTTTGAAAAATCCTCTGGCAGACATATTTTTGAATAGTTAAACTTCGTGAATATAAAAAAATTGTTTCTTTTTTGTTTTTACACTAAAATACCCCCTTTAATAATGTTTTCGGCAGTCATATGTTTCAAAATCGATTTTTGAAATTTAGCAGAGTTCTAAATTGGAATTGCTAAAACAAGCAGCCTAAGAAGCTGTTTCCAACTAGAAAAACTGCTGAGTATAATGATGATAAAATTCACTCGCCTCTCGCTTTATCAAAATATTTCTCATACCTTTTATGATATTAATATGATTTCTAACTATTTTTGTGGATTTTGACAAAAATGTTTTAATATATTTTTTTTAATTTTTGAAAAATAATTAATCATTTTTTATGATTTCCATACTTTTAAATGCAGATTAAGAAAAAAAAAAGATTTTATATGACCAAAAAAAATTTTTTTTTGGTATAAATGGTATATTTGTGTAATTTAATAATTATATAATACTAAATTAGCTGTATATGTATTTGTCAACCAATTCATATATATAAATCCACCCGCTCAAGATTATTTATCATATATATAATAGACATAAGAAACAGTTAAAAACAATTAATGTTTATACATTATATAAAAATTTAAATCCAAAAAAAGTCCTGTTACTCTTACATATATGTATACCAAATGACCAAAGCCTTACCGGTACAGCCTTTGTCCCTAAAATATTGCATTGCTTAATATTCAATTAAATAAAAGATCTACTTGTATTTGAAAAAGATATTCATTAACACATTAAATAGTTGATTACGGCAGATGCTGCGCTGTTGTTGCATAAACTCACACGAAGCTTTTAAGCTTTTGAAATACCTAGACGAAAAGTGAAATGACAACTAAAGTAAAAAAAAAGTTTAAGCTTACAAATGAATGTTAAAATATTGAATGTCATAATTATATGATTATAATTATTATATATAAAATTGGAATTCAAATTTATATATATATATATGCTATATATATGTGTTCACTACTAATAATTTTTCAAAAACAAAAAACCAATTTGGGAAAAATAAAGAAAATATTTTTTACTTAATTTTTAATTTTTAAATGTTGTGAATATTTTAGAAAATTTTAATAATAATAAAACGTTGTCATATGCATACAATTATATGTGTTTGTGTATGTTTAACACAGATAGTTTAGAATGATATTAGTTTTTGTAATTTCTCAAGATATTTTTTATATAAAATGTAGTATTTTTTTATTAAGATAAAATGTTTTAACGCGTTTTGTAAAATATACAAATAATATTAATTGAAAAAAGCTGAGTTTCATAAAAATGTGCAATAAGAATTCGTCGCGAAAATTATTTACTAATATAATATTTTTTATTTATATTATAGATAAGTACACATTTTCTTCAAACTCAAGCTATCCACTTTTATAAAAAAAATAAAAGTTTATTTTACATAAACTTTTTTTTTATAGAAAATAATTTTTTACACAAAATAATTTTTTGATATAAAATATTTTTTTTAATCAAAATATTTTTTTCACACCAAATAATTTTTTATATATCGCTTCGAAATGTCGAAAGCGAAAGTTTCTTGTTGCACAGAATTATGATTAAAAAAATAAGAAATAATATAAAATTATTCACATTTATATATTATATGTATGTACATGGAAGCTTAATTATTAACATTTACATAATAAACTGAGCGCTAATAACAATTTATTGTTTTATTTATAAGGTCAAGAAAGAAGAAATCCATTATTTCTGCATTAAATTAAAGGTTTTATTTAGCGTAATCAGAAAAACCCTCATTTCTGTTTGCAAAAAATACTGAGACAGTAGATTTTCACAAGCTTTTCATGAGGCGATTTTTTCACAAGCAAAATCATTCGCCATAGACAGGAGCAGGTAGTAATTACTTGGTGCCAGGCCTGAACTATAAGAAGGATGCATAAGAACATCCCAACCAAGATGCCGTAGCTTTTAACGAGCCACTATCGCTGTGTGTAGTCTAGCGTTGTCCTAACGAAACACAATTCCTCTCCTATTGGCCAAAGCTGAACGCTTTTGAACGATTGCTTTCTTCAGTCGGTTCTATTGTTGACAGTACATATTCAAATTAAAGTTTGGCCGTAGGCGAATAGCTCATAGTAGATGATGCCCTGCTAATTCGACCAAACACAGTACAATACCTTTAAAATAATGTGCAATTAAATTACATACATTTATTTTAAAACATAATTCGATGAACTTGGCCATGGCAACCTTGGAGGTGGGACTCGGTACGTTGTCTTCTTAGTGGAATAGCACTTTTTCGTTCGTCATTATGCATAGTAGCACCGTGGGTCTCTTGCTCTTCTGCAGATCGTCGATATAGATCACATCTTGTGCAACCTAAGAAACGTTGGCAGTAACCTTACCGGTCGTTATGACAGTCTTGTTCGTCTGCGGTGCAGGTTCGTCTGGTAAAGTCCGCTGTTTCGACTGTTCCTTGATCTCCGGCGTGTATCAGTAGATTGATGCTTCGTCGATTGTAAAGAAAAGACACAGAAACTCGTTTAATCAGTGTGACCCTGCCTAATATTCAATGCAGAAGTTGATCCACGCGGTCGATATATATGTAGAGTGCGAAAGGACACCGTTTACGCAACTAAACGATCTTTAATTTCACTACGAGAATGTACTACACGTATGTGAATTTAACTTGCGAGAATGACGTCTTCGGCTGAACTACCCTCGTATGTGCTCCTAAGTCAAAGTCAATCCCATCGAAATCTCTATATGCATTGGATGGACACCAGTAGGAGTTATAGACCGATTTCTGCCATTTCTGGCAAAATTTCACAATATATTATATTAAGTCGTCAATGGTTAGCTTTTAGCTTCAATTAGAGCTTCACCCCCTATTTCGGATATGCTGCTTGAGATTACCCCAACAGGTTGCCTCAATCGGTAGCTTAAAATGTTGAACATTTGATAGCGGTTTTAACCTCAAAACGCTGCTTCGGCAATACCATCCACTTATGGGC